CTTCATAAACTTTATACTGGATAGTTTATATCTTTTTGGACCGGATCAAAACATATCTGAAATTATGAACAAGATATTCTATATTTAAAAATATAGATATTTAAAATATTTGGTTAAGATTAGAAATACAATTCTCCTATCCTCTTTGTTTGAACATTTTTTAACTGTTTTGAATCGTCATATAATACATAAAGTAAAAAAATATCACAATTTTTATCTGCATATATTGAGATTCAATATTTTAAAAACGGATATATATTACCCAATTGATGAAAATATGTGTGTTCAACGTTCCATATCGACTAAAATATTTAGATCAGAATCATATTATAAACAAAATCAAAATGAATCCAAATCTGAATAAACAAGAAGCTCAACTTAATAAGCATATCCAAATTCAAAATTATATACCGTTTCATTCGGTTTTTTAGTTTAACTGCTTAATTTTACAGGAAATGTTAAATTTTAAAAATTTTAAAAGTTTAAAATAATATTATTCATATATTTAAGATCAATTAAAATTTATAATATTCTCAGCATTTAAACATATATAAAGGGTTACAATAACACGAGACGGGTTATATTGTAGATAAGGTTATTTAACGGGACGAGATTTAAGAATTTTAAATATTATAATTCATATACTTAAAATCAATAAAAAGTTTATAATATAAGAACATTTGAACATATATAAAGAGTTAAAATAACATAGGACAGCCGACAAAAAAAAAATAACATAGGACAATTATATTACAGGACGAAGTTATATTGCAAGATGGGGTTATATAACAGAATGAGTTTTCAAAAAAAATTAAAACATCATTAACCCGCTGCTTCAATACGGTTAAATCTTCATTTTATTACTTTTTTAATACCACCAATATTAGACATATCGAATGATCCTGATTAAAGTAATTTGTAAAAAACAAAAATTATCGTCTGGTATACCGTTATTTAATAACAATTGTAAATTATAAAATATAAATGTCTTATAAAATTATATAAATTGCAAAAAAAATTATATAATATAATATATAATCATTAAATTTTAAAAATCACTAATTTTAAAAATAAATCGTTTCGCAGTGTACCGCAGGTTAAAGTCTAGTTAAATAAATAAATTCTTGAAATGCTAAAAGCTTCGTAATAAAGTTGTGTAAGTCTCTTATGCTACCATTTTAGACGTCGGAATTCGACTCTAGCTAGGTGAATTAAACTCTTTAAATAATTTTTTCTTAATTATTTAAAATCTACTACTCCCTCTGTTTTATATTATATGATGTTTTAGCCATTTTATTTTGTTTCACAATATAAGATGTTTTGGACAAAAAATTCAAGTTTCTATGTAAAAATTAAATTCATACAATTTTATGACTATTTATATTCTGCAGTAAACTTTTTCATTGACCAAACTTTCTTTAAGTAAATAGTAAAATTATGATTTCAATGTAAAAATAATAGAAACAAAAAAAAATTAATTAGTTTCTTAAACTTTGTACTTTTAACCAAAACATCCTATATTTTGAAACAGAGGGAGTAGAATCATTCTAATTTACTATCATTTAATTATGTTTTGAAAATGTTTATGCTTGTTTATTATCTAATATTAGCTATTTTTATCTTATTATCAAAACTCATCAATTTAATCTAGATTTATATTCTGTTTACAAATGATATAGACAGAAGTGGAGGCAGCGTTGTAAGTATGGGGATCAATTTATACCCACCCATAAACTTTTTGAAACTAGTCTAATTATGATTAAATATTTAAAAATAACCTTATCCCAAAATAAAAATTGACCCTTATCAAATTTTAGTTTAAGCAACTCAATAAATATGTATATACTAAAATTTATAAGCTCGATAAAACTCATTTTCAATAAAGGGTGAGTTAAATATATATACTCAGAATAATTAAAAATAAAGAGTCTAACCTTGAAGATTATTTATTTTTATTTAATTCTCTTTCATGTGACTCAATTTAATACCAAAAATACTTTTTGTCACATATGCGCGTTAACAATAAAATTACAAGATAAAATAGTTTAAATCTAACATCAGAAAAAAAAAAAAAAAAAAAAAACAGATTTATCGACGGTAGCTCCAGTTAGCTCTCCGAAAAAGATTCAATTACAATTTTAAATTGTTAATTCTAAATATATTTTTAACAAAAAATAACATAAATTTTAAACTTGGATAGTGACACTGCAATGTCACTAATACAAATCATAACATATTACTATGTGATAAGTTTTGGTCACTATATAATTATTTTATATTAAATTAAAAATGTATTACTTTGGTTTAAACCATCAAATATTAACTTAATAAACAAAAAAATTCTTCCGACCAACTCGTTATTTAAACCAGAAGTTTAACCCATTCAAATTTACAAATTTCTTACATAAAATAAAATATAACCATGTAAACCCCTAATAAGTACAGCCTAATTAACCTCACACAAGAGATAAAGATCATTATAAAGAGGAGTGGAAACAAAACGAAGCTTGACGAAACAATTATAAAGAAAAATAACAAAAACAAAAAAATTATTAAATTTCCCATGCAAATATACGGTGAACTTTTTTGTTTGTTTTAGAAGAGAAAACAAACTTGAAGACCCATATAAATGTTAAAATGTATTTTTTTTTTAAAATTTGTTGAATGTGATCCATATAAATGTATTACCGAAATAAAAAATTGAAGCATCCAATGGGGCGGTGTCAGTGTCGGTGATGCTTCCTAGTTCCTGCTGAGAAGCTACGCGGAATATATGGTTTATCATACAAAAGTCTCTTTATGTGATTTTCTAAATATATCGACTAAATATTTTTTATGAAGTTGTTAATATAACATGCGTTTCCACTTTTGATATTTGAGTTGTCGTGTATCAAAAAAAAGTCTTGGCGTGCGTGACCGGGTCATATACAGCAATGTTCTTAATGGTGTCAAATTACTACTGTTTGCATTAATAAAGTAAAAATAAAAGGCATACAGAGTTTTTGACAAAGCGATTTTCTTTGTAAAGAACCAACAATTTGGTAGGAAAAAACCGCAGCTACTTGTCAACAACAACAAACAACAACTCAATTTAATGACACTATTTATGTAAGTAACTAAAGAAGCTTCCCAATAAATTTTGTTCCTTTCAAATCTCATTGATTTTAGATTGTCATCCAATTAGAAGAGTTCGATCTGTAGTCTTGTCACTTGAAGTAGAACTTAACATTTGGAGAATGTGTTTGTAAATTGTTTTTACTTCGACGGAATAAGGACATTTCAAGTTCATATGGTTTCTTGATTTCACGGTCACTTCGCAACGCAAAAACACTTCTTTCAACTGGTAAATATTAACTACAACAGCTATAATATGATTAATGAAGATGAAACGATTAACATTTGGTAAATTTGCATGGAAATATTAAACACAATCTAATCATTTCAAGATTAGTATAATGTAATAAGAAATCAAGATATACTATTTATAAGAGATAAATAAGAAGCGATCATTTGTTATATTATCTAGGCTATAATATATTACTGTCCAAATGAAATTATAGATTGCGTAAAAAGTGTTACTATTGTTTACGTAAGAAACTATACTGTATATTTGGAAGTGGCAAATTATCAAGTATGTAGTTCCCAATCAAATCCCAAAACGGTCTTCAAATTTCCATTACATCTGCCATTGGCAGCTGCACTCTTCCTATCGTTTAATACATACACGAACATCACCAAGCTGAGAAACGATAAATCAACACGTGGTCGGACCATTCTTGCTCAGAGTAAACGTCCATAACAATGAGGATTGTGTTGAAAATGTTGTCACAAGACCACTGATCTGATCAGATTCTAACGTCTCTGTACTAGCTACTTGTGTTGATAGAGAGCCAAAACAAAATCAAGCACTTCAGCATCACTACATTACAATTAATGGGCCCGATGCTGTGACCCATTAATGGACAACTGATCTTAAAAAAAAAAGAAGATTTCTTTTCTAACCTTAAAAAAAAAAAAAAAAATCTAAAGCATATAATCTCAAAAATCGGCTTACAGAAATTAATGGGCCCGATACTGTGACGGGCTTTTCCAATTTGGTTTGGCCCAGCTTTGATAAACCTAGTTTCATTCGGTAATATAGTTTTAACTTTTAACTGATTCTTTTTGAAACATATGTAGTGATATATTACTGATGATACCAAGAAAATAAATCATAATAGTTTTTCTGCATTTTCTTCATATTCCCATCTATGTTCCATTTCCTTGTGCAACATCCACTAATTATATTTTGATTTTTGATCTCGTAAACTAAGTAAAAAGTTACCAGAAAATAATTTTCTCTGCAATGAAAATTTTTTGTTGCGGCAGAAAATTGGAAAATAGATATAACAATCACTAGCTTGATTATCCCAATTATACAACTAGTAACTTTTTTTCTTGTCTTAAACAAGAATATGTTCTTCCAAACTTTACACTCCTTATACTTAAAGATTATAGGGAAAAATATTTTAAAAATCACAAACTTTTAAATTTGGTTGAATAAAAACACCAACTTTCCTTTAAACGTTTTAAATCACCAATTTTATCATTAACTTGTGATTTTAGTCACAAATTTTGTTTTACTTTTCATTTTAGTCACATATTTTTGTTAACTGAACTAATTTAGACCTGTCATAAAAAAATTGACGAAACGAATTAACAAAATTAACTATTCGTTACTTATCTCCGACTCTCCGTAATCAGATTGTCAACAAATTCAATATAGATTATTATCGGAGACTTTATCTATTAATATGATTTGTTAAAACTTAAAACACTTAAAACGTGCCTAAATTAGTTCAATGAACAAAAGTTTTGATTAAAATGAAAAGTCAATAAAACTTGGTGATTTAAAACGTCTAAAGGAAAGTTGGTGCTTTTCTCAACTAAATTTAAAACGTCTAAACGTTCATGATTCTTTTGACATTTTTCTCAAAAATTACATGTGTCAAACTTTATCATAGTTCTTCCAAATATATGTTTAGAATTTAGAATCTAACATATTTCTAGTCTTATATATAGATTTGCGAGACTTTATTTTAGTCGTATAACTAACATTGACTTGTTAACGATCCAAAAGCATGAATGAAGGAGCTCAATCCTCGATCGGCGTGAGCCTGGCCAGAATGAAATTCCATGGAATGGATTACGCATAGGGAATATATGATACTATATAAAAAAAATATAATATCAATTATGTTTGGCATAATTATATGCATATGAAGTTGAATATGTCCATTTTAAAGATAAGATTACATATTCACATAACTATACTTCTAATCTACATTGATATTGACTCATGTGTCATGCGTTTTTTTTGTCCGTAGATATAAAACGATCAATATTCCATGTCAATATCAACAAGCCGGCACATTATAGTCCCTGTATATATAAGTCGTAAATTTCATATGATTTGAAGGAAAATAACACATTATTTTCGTTTACTAAAAGAAACAAAATTAAAAAATGGCTACGACTACACAACACATGAATCAAATCTTCCTCGTACTCCTCCTCATCTCCTTCGCAATCTCTCCGGCAATATCAACGGTTCCAAAAGAATGTGAGGCCGACTCAACAGAATCTTGCATCGATAAAACCAAAGCCTTACCTCTCAAAATCGTAGCAATCGTTGCCATCCTCGTGACAAGCATGCTTGGAGTTACAGCTCCTCTCTTTAGCCGATATGTCACTTTCCTGCATCCAGACGGTAAAATCTTTATGATCATCAAGTGTTTTGCATCCGGGATCATCCTAGGAACCGGTTTCATGCATGTTTTGCCGGATTCTTTCGAGATGTTGTCCTCTCCATGTCTTGAAGACAATCCATGGCACAAATTTCCCTTCACGGGCTTTGTCGCTATGTTGTCCGGTCTTGTAACTCTCGCTATTGACTCTATTGCTACAAGTCTCTACACCAAGAAAGCTTTTGCTGATGACAGCGAAGAAAAGACTACTCCAATGATAATTCAAATCGATCATTTGCCTCTAACAACTAAAGAACGTAGCTCTACATGCTCAAAACAACTATTGCGGTACCGAGTTATCGCCATGGTTAGTTCTTCATTACAATGCCATTTAGCTTTTTGCTTTAACAAATATATACACTCATGGAAAGTACTATATAAATTTTGAATATTTAAATCACATATTAAAAAATCATGTGTAAAATTAGGTGTTGGAGCTTGGGATAATAGTTCACTCTGTTGTCATTGGACTATCTCTAGGTGCAACCAACGACACGTGCACCATCAAAGGTCTTATTGCAGCTCTTTGCTTCCATCAGATGTTCGAAGGCATGGGTCTCGGTGGTTGCATCCTCCAGGTACAAAATGTTTTTACATCAAAATCCATTTTCATATCTGGTAAAAACACACTAAACAAAAGCGTAGCGTAAAAGCCTTAAATAGGATGTAAAAATGAGGATAACATTAACATGTATATATATTAATTTTCAAAAATAATAGCAACTAACACCATAATATATTTTTCCTTTACCAAATCTCGAAAAAATTGACCATAACACAAACATATAGATTCAAGGATATATAGTAGCTTAGAATTTTATGTGAATACGCGTGTAACTTTTGATAAATATATTTTTCAATAAAAAAATTTCTAATCGTATCATATGATAGAACATATAGCATTTTGAGAAATACTGAGAAATACATATAGCATATGATAGAACATATCATATGATAGAACATATAAAAGTTTGTTTTTTTAACAGGCAGAGTATACAAATGTGAAGAAATTCGTGATGGCCTTCTTCTTTGCGGTTACAACACCGTTTGGAATTGCTCTTGGTATAGTCTTGTCGAGCGTTTACAAAGACAACAGTCCAACCGCATTGATCACAGTTGGACTGCTCAATGCATGTTCCGCAGGATTGCTCATTTATATGGCACTCGTAGATCTTCTAGCCGCAGAGTTTATGGGATCTATGCTCCAAGGAAGCGTCAAACTTCAGCTTAACTGCTTCGGTGCGGCTTTGCTTGGTTGCGGAGCGTAAACTCTTTAACATTTTACTTCCGATTTTTATGAAACTGTAATATATGGTTTTATTTAAACTGTAATATATGGTTTTATTTAATAACTAGTATTAAGCCCGTACTCCGTACGGGGCAAAACTTTAATCAAATTTATAGATAAACCAATTAATTTTTTTCTTTACCAAATAAAACTTATGACTCACTAAGCTCCATTACATCAACTACACAAATCTGTTTTGTCTCCAGGCTTAAACCGTACCATTCACCGTCTGTTCTCAACACCCGTCCTTTCTCGATCTCGTCTCCTCTCTCATCCATAAGCCTCACTTGTTGCCCTTGCTTTATCCCTTCTTCTGATGATGACGATGATCTCAACAGATTCTCTCCTGTTTTCGGGGTTTTTGATGCAGTCAGATCTTTAAATGGTGTTGATGGTTTCTGCTACCAAGTGTTTTCATCTCCAGGACTCTCTAGTAATTCCCCTGAGCTGTAATTATCACGAACTGTCCCCGTTTGCTTGTTCGTCCGAGCGAGTTTCGCTTTTCGGTTATTCAGTCTGAGAATAAACTATCAATGGCAGATAACGTATAGTGGTTACAATTCTCTTTACAGTTGACAAAGAGAAAAAAAAAATGAATTGATTTGATTGATGAGAAGGAAAAAAAAAGAAGAAGAAGATTTGATTTGATTCTTTGAAGAGACATGAGATTGATGAAACTCTAAGATCAGAGCATGTAGCAACTTGAAAATTTTTACCCGATAGAAGTTGTAGGAAAGAGCAAGGAAGAAAGAAATTTGTAAGCTTTTTGTATGAAATAATGTTGTTGTTCTATTGTTGAAGAAGAGAGACAGAGAGGAGATATTGAGATCGTGGGGGTGAAGAGGGGAAACAATTGCAAGGAAATTTTTTTTTTTAGTCTTTTTTTTTTTTGTTGAATAGCAAAAGTTTAATTGTTTAGAAATTTGAAAGTATAAAAAATGGGACTTAAGACATGTGTCGGATGGAGATGGTTGCAGTTTTTTTAGAATTGACTTGTGATTTATTATATAAAGAAGATAATAAAGTCAGTTATCAAGCGATTGGCCTCTCGTTTAATTTCCATAGTTATTTGGTATTGTGAGTTATATAATCTAATGAATACTCTATCCACAAAATTTAAGAAAAATCCATTTCTTTTATCCAGATTTTGATATTTAATGGTTAATTTTATTGCATCAAAAAATTGAAAAAAAAAGAGAGAGAGATATATGCAGAAGAACGTTGGACTGGCGATAAAAGTGATATATACGAGTGTAAAAGGTCAGGTCATGTGTGATCAACTGGAGCCTTGTATTTAATCAGGAGAAGTTTAAAAATGTCCAACGACCAAATAGTGAGGTGTGTCGGTCCATAAGACAATAAGGCTTGATTCCGAGTGAGGAATGGTGAGAAGTTTTCGTCGTATCGAATAATGATGCTTGTGGTTTTGGATTCAGATCAGTGTAGTTTAGCGTTTCTTTCATTCCAAATCTCGTAAACCAAAGCATGTATGATGAACCTTCTTGTTATGTGCTTCTCCCTTTCTTCTTAGATCCAAAGAACCCTCTTGTTCCACCCGAAACACACATAAAAGTCTATAAAACAATAAATCGTACTAAGAGAACGTTATTTTATGAATTAGAATAGAATGAAAATATTCTTATGTATTGAGTCAAAATCCAATATAAATAAATATTAAAGTTGAAGATAAACCAAAGAAATATATTCTTTTAAGATGGTAAGTTCGAGCCAAGTTCTCCTTTCTTCTTTTTCATCGTTTTTTATACAAAAGATATATGTAATCTGATAAGATTATTGTTATGCTTCTTCTTTAAAAATCATTTCCCTATTTTCTGATTTTATTTAACATTTCTTACATAAGCTTTTTATTTCTGTTTATTTCCAAGAATTTTTGTCAACACTTTTCGAAATAGTTTTTTTAAAACACTTACATAAAATATTAAATATATGAAATCAAATATGGTTTAATTCTGTAAACAAAGTTTATCTTACTTGAGTAGTTTATTCATCCCCAAATAATCAATTGTTCAACAAATCAATGACCGTACGCGTTGTACGACTTATGAAAAGGCAAGATCCGTACAACTCCTTATTACGTACGTGAGCAAGAATATTGCGATTTCACCAATTTCCATTATAAACAATAGTTATTTGACCAACTAACTCCTTAATTTTTTCCATCTTAAGAAGAAATATATTCCATGTCACCAAAAATTTGGCATGGAAATAGCCCGTCTATATTCCCTATATAAGCATAAGTCGTAACAAGCCAAAATAGATCCAACACAAATACAAAACAATAAAACATTTATAAAGAAAAAAGAAGTTTAAAAAAATTATAATGGCGGCTTCGACAACAACACTCATGAAGCTCTTCTTCTTTGCCCTAATTCTTGTCAGCTTCATCGTATCTCCAGCGACGTCCACGGCACCAGAAGAATGTGAAGCCGAGTCAACAAACCCATGTCTTAACAAGACTAAAGCCTTACCTCTAAAAATCATATCCATAGTAGCCATCCTCTTGACCAGCATGATAGGCGTCTCGGCTCCTCTCTTCAGCCGATACGTTCCCATTCTCCATCCGGATGGAAATATTTTCACAATCGTTAAGGCTTTCGCATCCGGAATCATACTGGGAACAAGTTTCATGCACGTTTTACCTGATTCTTTCGAGATGTTGTCATCGGAATGTCTAGAGGACGATCCATGGCACAAGTTCCCATTCACGGGATTTGTCGCTATGTTGTCGGGCCTCGTCACTTTAGCCATTGACTCCATGGCGACTAGCTTCTACTCTAGCAAGAACGGTAGTGAGATTGTACCTGCTGCTAGTAACGGTGATCAGGAGAGAGCGAATCCGATGATAACTCATGGCCATAGTCATGGTCATGGCGTTACATTAAATACTAAAGATGATGGTTCTTCACATTTATTGCGGTACCGTGTCATTGCTATGGTTAGTCCACCACATTTATAAATATTCCATTTTAACAAAATTACTTATCTACCGTTTTATATGTTTATATAAACACATATGAAAGGTGTTGGAGCTTGGAATTATAGTTCACTCCGTGGTCATTGGATTATCTCTAGGTGCAACAAATGACACATGCACCATTAAAGGTCTCATTGCAGCTCTTTGCTTCCATCAAATGTTTGAAGGCATGGGTCTTGGAGGTTGCATCCTCCAGGTAAACCCAAAACTACATCTTTATTGAGGTGTTTTGATACAGTACCAAAAACAATATAATACTTATACAAGGAAATATAAAAGTACTAACCAAATTGATATATACCTTTGAGTATTCATATCGATTATGTCACTTAGAAATGTTGCATCAATGTTTACTAACAACAAAATATTGTAAATCGTGAATAGGCGGAATATACAACTGTGAAAAAGTTCATGATGGCCTTCTTTTTCGCGGTTACAACACCATTTGGGATTGTTTTAGGGATTGCATTGTCGAGCATTTATAGGGATAACAGCCCGACCGCGTTGATCACTGTCGGGCTGCTCAATGCCTGCTCTGCAGGACTGCTTATCTACATGGCCCTCGTTGACCTTCTAGCGGCTGAGTTCATGGGACCAAAGCTCCAAGGCAACATCAAGCTTCAGATCAAATGTTTCTTTGCCGCTTTACTCGGCTGCGGGGGAATGTCAATCCTCGCCAAATGGGCTTAGAAACTTATCAATAATCTTGGAGTGCATATACTAAAAGAATTTGGTTAAGTTCGGGTTTGAAAATGTTGTTTGATCGCAAGCGTTTTTGTCTTTTGTTTAATTTTTACTTTCATATCATTATGTAAAGAGCAATAATTGTTGTGTGATGAATAATTGTGTAATGAAATATCGATATTTAATTTAACACACCATTAAAAGCGATGATTACTATCTATATAAAATTGTGGGTGTATGTATTCTTATTAAAAAAAATGTAACGAGTTTATTTTTCCAAATAGTAATTTTATAAGGAAAGATCCATTTCATTATTCCGATGCAAAATCTTTAAATTGATCCGACCCACCAGCGATATTTCTTGTAAATACATTCTAACTCCAAGATTTATTTATTAAATGTCTCTGAAAAAATACATTAAACAAGATCTATGTGATTTTAGGCGGTCAAGGCGGTAATCTAGGCGTCGCATGAGAGCCTAGCGTCTAGTAAAAATACTCATAAAAATATAACCAATGGAGATGGCCTTATGCTAACCAGTGTTCAAGAAAGCGCTAGGCGCTAAGCGGGCCGGAGGTAAATAGGTAATATTGTGTTCAGAAATGTGTATGTGACATATGTTGACACACATTAGATATAGATTAAATATGATGGTGAATAAATACCCAATTATTGTTGGCAAAATAAAATACAATTAAAAGCTCGGCCCCTTTAGAGAAACAGCCCATTGGCATTTACAAAGGCACACAATAGTTTGTATTAATACAAGGTTAGAAGTATTTTAAATATAATATTTTAACATAATTATGTTATTATTTAAATTTTAAATCAATTAAAAGAATGAACCAATCATAAAAAGTCACATGTCAAAAGAGTCTCCTAAGACTAGACATGTTCTCATTTGAGAACCGTTTCTTTTTCTTTTTCCTATTTTGAAAAAAAATTTTCTTACACATCAACCAATTACAACATAACGGCTTTGAATGGTACCACATTATCAAATCGGTACATGGTGTATAGATTTGACAGTTACCAATTATAAAAACTTTATCAAAAGCGTTACTAACAGTTTTACTCTCACATTTTTTGTACAGCTCTTTCTTACAGTTTTGCACTATTCCGATAAAGTTACAGTTCCAACTAACAGCTAAAAATTTTGTTCATCTTTTGGTTACCAATCAGATTCAACATATAGCTTTCGGGTTACAACTACGAGAAAATCTACAAAGATCCACATTTCGAACCAAGATAGCGCAAATCGTCATCATCAAGCGAGAGAATGAACTTACGCATCTCATCATCATACGAAAAAAACTCAAGGAGATAAGACAAGTCATGTACTATTTTGGAACATATGAAAGATATATATCGCCACATTAGTTAATTGAATACGGCTATTCTACTTTGAAAGATATGAATTATCTTTGAAAATTAAACACCTAAAATCATTTTAAAGTACTCTAAAAACCTTACAACTAAGAACAATTGTAAATCACCACATTATGTTGTTCACTAACCTAAACCATTTCGAAATCACATACACTGCATAAATTTCAATAACCTACACATAAATTCAATTTGGTTTCTAGAATTTAATATAAGTATCATTTTAACATTTTCACGTGAATTAGGAAATAGTTTAAAACTATTACGTATTTATTAAAATAAGTGAGTTTTGAATTTTTGTATCATATTATATTCTATTAATTTGATTAGGGATAAAGTAAGAGTTGTGATGAAATTCCTTGTTATGTATTAGTGATATAGTTAGCGGTATATGGATATCAAATCTATGAACAATCTTAATTATATAATAGCATACTTTGTGTTAGCATTATTGGAGAGCAATATTAACGTTTGAAGTTGTTTAAATCATCATTATATTATATGTAAGATGAGACGTGACATGCTGATTTTTAAAGACTATATAGATATGGTATTTATATTTTTTTGGTTAACCAAAAAAGTATCTATACTAATCAATGGAATAGATAATTAGTGTTAATTAGGGCCAAATTTTGGAATATTCTTAGGGAACAGGGTTTAGTGAAGATGTATGTAAGCATTCGAATCATCTTAACCAAATATCGAAATGTCATCACTAAAAAAAGTTGTTGGACGCATTATGTAATCAAGAAGAAAAATATAAATATTGGATAGCGACATTGTAACGTTTCTTGAACGCAAACATCGTAAATCGTGAAGTCACACATCGTATTCATCGTTCTGCGTTCAGATATGCACTTAAATGGTAGATATATTGAGGAAAAAAAAATGGTAGATATACATTTGAATACATATATTTTATTATCAAATCTGAAAATTTATGGTGTCTTTTTTTTGTCTATATGCACTGCACAAGATACGACCCCAAATTATAAAATTTATTACACGACAAATAACAATAGACTTTAAATTGCTAATGTCGTTGAAGGTATCAAATTCAGACTATTGCTTTTTATGACGTTTTCCTTTCTACTTTTTTATAGTTGGGATAGCGAAATTTGATTCTTCTTAGAAAACAAAGTTATATACAGTTTTGTTATATTGAACGTCACTGGACAATTTCATTATTAGTGATTGCGACATAATTACATAACCTTTAGTGGGCAACATTTTTTGGGTGTTAGAAAGCACTGAAATTCGAATTTTATGGAACAATACAAGAAAGGACACCAAGAAAATAATGAATTTTGTGTGTTTCTTGATAATAGATATTGATGACACTTTGAGTACAAATAATTCCCAGTGACACTTTAAGTAAATATCAAACATTATTTAAAAAAATTAAAAATGCTTAATAATTTAGTTTTTAATAATATAGACTATATTGTTAAACATATATAAATAACAAGCCGTAGTCGAAACCGAATTAGCCAAAAAGACATAGACTTATCAGAACATAAACTTTTAAAAAATTCTTATATATAAACCAATATGAAACCAAATCCGACTAAGAAATTGTACCAAACCAAAAGAGATTAATATTAAAAAAAAAAAAAAAAGTTTTAAAAAATAATAAATTTGAACCTTATAATGCAATATTTTGGATTTTCCAACTAATGGTTAACAAACAAATAGTAGATAAGTAACAATATTTCATCAATGCCTTTCATATTTTCTAAATTCAAGGATAAGTTTCTTTACACTGAGAATTTGTTTTTCTATTTTTGTTATATGTAATTGCTTTGGCTAGAGGAGAAGTAAAAGGCCAAGGACCACCTCACATGTTTTGGAGAAATTCTTTAAAATTTCTTTCCCACATTCAATTATTATGTCGTCTTTTGCAACTTCCATTTTTGGCTTCCACTTCGAAGTTTCCAGGAAAATAACCAAAATGTTTTTTTATAATAATATTAATGACGATCAATGACGATGGTAATGTCAATAGATTAACTAAACCGATATACACGATTTCATTTTCAATTTCTATCTAGAAAAAAAGAAAGTAAGGAATACGGACTAAGGAAGTAGATTCTATGTTTTAAGCCAAACCAGTATATAAGATTGCATCGTGATTTAACCAAAAACTAGGAACGAAATCAAGAGTTATTTTCCTGCTTAATCTACACGTACATTAGTATTAATGTTGCAACAAGACACTAACTAACATTGAATTGAAGGATAAAATTTGGTTTAGTGCGTTCCTCCGAAGCATGAACAAACCGCAAATTTTATTATCATTATTCACAAAAATCCAGAGTTTAATGTGGTTGTTATACTCTTAACAAGAATGGTTAGTTTTGTAAACGCATTAAACATGCATGAAACATGCTTTATCAAAGAAAAAGAAAAGAAACAAATAGTGCCACACTTCAAATTGTGTAAAAACGTCTATAAAAGATTATGACTTAAATTAGCTAGTTTACTATATATTGTTTTGATTTACAAGAAAATCAATATTTTGACAACATCATTCGCTCACCGTATTTTACTACTCCTATTGTTTTTTCTCTAATTTGTATATAACCTTTAGATATAGGTATAACGAATCGTGATTTATCATTTATGTGGTTATGAAAAAATTATAATTCAAATTAGATCACCATGCATTTAAAAGTTTAATCGAATCTTTTTCAATACGATTCCACAATTACATGCTTGATGCGACATATTCATAATTTATTTTTTCACGAATATACTACATGATTAAGAGTTACAAAAAGATGCTAAGATGATATCAATTCGAAATTTCAAAAAAAAAAATTACAATGATATAATATATATATGCATCATAATATACGTAACTGGCTAGTCTTAAGTCATTCATTATGCAGTTCCACAAATTTAATGATAAAATTACAAGAATTATAACATTCTTTGACTTAAAAAAATTTCGAATCTTTTTTAATTTCCACGGTTACAGAGGTCGCGTAGATTCCGTACGAATGAAGGAAAACAAATTGTCATTACCAAAATAAGAAAAATACTACAAAAGCTACAAACAAATACTACTAATGAATCAATTCCATATTAAATAGTCTAAAAAAAAAGTCACATTTCTTCTTCTTTTTTCACCTATTTTTACTCTTTTAATCCTTAAATTAAAAAAAATTAAAATTATAAAAAAAAACATGGTCATGATGACATGTTAACATGTACACTAGCAGTCATGACCATATCACATACAGGACACGTCTGTAACAAAGCCGACGATCCACAAACCGTACACAAACATAAATGACGACAAGGTAACACCAACACACTCGCCGTTAAATCACCGCACCGTCTACATCCTCCGTTAACCGCCGTTACTTCACCTCCGTCACAACTTGCACAGCTAGATTCTGCATCTTCTTCAACCAAAGGACGACGAAACGCATCAAAATCATCGACTTGAGCTAAAACTTGTTCAAGATTTGATCTAAGATTATTCGCAGTAGCTTCATTGCTTTGAGCTAAATCACGCCAGATCTGATTCTCAACGTAGAGATTCTTCACACGTTCTTGTAAAACCCAGTTTAATTTCCCCATTCTTATTATCTCTTCGTCTTTCTCTTTTAGCTTTTTCAAAATCGCGTTTTGTACCGCTGTCGCTAACATCCGCGTTTGCGTTCTTTGTCTCGCTTCTAATTCGATTCTCAACGTTTCCGTTTGTTGCATAACGAATCTATCGATTTCTGAGTTTTGCTGTTGGATCTGAGAAACTAACTCTGCGTCGATTAACGACGGAGAAAACGCGATTTGTCTGCGTTTCTGAGATGCGTTTGAATCTAACGTTGTATCTCTTTGACGTTTTGAAATCGCTGTGAGATTGCTTTCTGATTTGTTGAAGCTGTTAATCGGATCTATGTACTGTAAGTTCCGATCACCGATTGTCACCGGAAAATCACCGCCGAC